TAAAATAAAGCTTCATGATGAAAATTGTAGTATTCAAAATTTAACCAGATTTGTATCTTCCATTTCAAGCTGCCTTTAGAATTCCAGACCTGCCTTCTAATTTCCACTGATGCAGATCCTGTCTGGATCTGTCTTAAAAGATGCACAGCCAGAATGCTCTTTAGAAACAAAGATCTCATGGCGAGACTTCATTTTGTGTGTTTTTGACATGTTAACAGAAGGGACGAGTTCCTGCAAAAGGACATAATACTTGCTAACTGCTAACATAGTTGTTGTTGTTATGTGCTGTCAGGTCAGTTCCAATTCATAGCAGCACAAGAAACAGGTGGTGGCTTTGAACCACTGACCTTAAACCACTGACCTTATCATTCCAGTGCTTATCCTACTATGCCACACCATACAAAGTAGAGGTTCAGCAAAAAAGAGGAAGACTCTCAATGAAATAGACTGACACATGGTTACAACAATGGGCTCAAACAGAAAAGGACTGTGAGGATGACAGTACTGGGCAACATTATGTTCTATTATACATGGGGTCAAAATGAGTAGGAAACAATTTGATGGTACCTGTCCTGGTGTGGTGCCATGGGCTAATGCGTCAGACTGCATAGTCATTTGAACTGCAAGGTTGGTGGTTCAAGTTCACCAGCTGCTCCTTGGAAACCCTACACAGGGTTGGAATCAACTCAACAGCACTTAACAACAACAACAACAATTCAGCCCTGGTGTAACATGAAGGTTAATTCACTGGACTGCAAGGTCAGTTTGAACTGTAAGGTTGGCAGTTCAAGCTCACCAGCCGCTCCTGGGAAATGCTGTACAAGGTAGCTCTGAGTCAGAACTGACTCCACGGCAGTTAACAGCAACAACAAACAAGAACAACCTCTTAAATTCATCCCATTACATCACTTATCATAGGAAACAAACTCTCTGTACTTAGCCTTAGGATAGAAATTATTTGAATTTTAACATTTAGTAGTTTTAATTTTGATAAAGTTGACTTGAGGAGAGACACTTGGGTGTATTTTTCACATATTAAACAAATTCAAATATATTTTGAAGTGCATTTTGCCCCAGATTATTTACAGATAGTGTTACAAAGCTTAGGAAATAAGAACTGAAAAGTTAAACCCAGACTGTTTTTTTTAAAGTACTAATTTTGCTAATTTATGTTATACCTAATGGGCCCATAGTTTTCTGCTTTGCTTCTATTATTGGGGTGTTGGTTGTTAATGTATTTTCTTACTAATTTAACAGGGAACTCTTTACCTTATAGAAAGATCATTATCAATTATTTTTGCTCTAAGGTGAGAATTTAAAAGATAGTTCACTGTTTTATCAATAGTCATCAACCCAAAATATATTTAAGCAAATAGTAGCATGAGCTGCCTTTTGTATGATAAAAGCAAATAGGCAAAACATTTGCAAAAAAAAAAAAAAAAAATTCTTAAGACTCATTCCATCACTTTCATCAAGGACACTTAATAACAAAGTTATTTTA